TCATGATCCACATGGTGCTGGAATCAGGAGTAGGGATACAAATGGTTACACAAATAATTCAGAAATATATATTCATGCTACATAAAATTTATTTTTCAAGCAAACAAAAATCAGGTAAAGCCAATTTGAATAAAAATGAAGCCTGAGATTGCACTTTCTCACTTACCCCCACTGAGCAATGTATACTGGCTCAATGACCCAAGGGATTTCATTCACAAAGGAAATAGCTCCTGTGATGTGGTAGAGTACAGGAACATCTCGGATCTGCTCCCAGGGCATAGGCATGTTTTCCAGCAGCTTCAGCACTGCATGGGGCATGTACTTGAGGGCGCTGTTCAACAAAAAGACAGATACAGAATGAGCTTTTGCAACACAAATAGATCAACAGCAGAAATATATATGCTGGCTTCTATTAAGATTTTTTAAAACACTTTTTGTGTACAAGATTCATTTTTACCCAAGGTAGACTCTCTTATCATGGCGAAACTTTCTATTGGTCATGTCTCCATGGTCCCTGATGATCTTGCGGACATGTTCAGGTGGCATGTCTTCCTTCTGAGCGTCCACAAAGCCAAACTTTCTCTTTTCTGAGTAGCGCTTTGCCTGGAGCTGCTGCCATTTTCTTGCTATAGTGATGGAAGAAAGTTAATACTTAAAAGTAAGTACATTAAAGTATATAACGTTTTAGTTTTCAAATGAAACCATAAATGTGCTCTACTGAGTGAAAACCAGCATACCTTTCTCTTGCAGTTTTTCCTCAGACATGTAGTCCGGGACTGGTGCAGGAGGGGGTACACCTGGTGGCATTGCTGGTGGGACCCCTCTGTAGGGAAAGGTAGCCGCCATGGCGCCTCACTACTCAAAACAAAAACAATGAATCACAATTACTACTTACCCTAAATGTTCAACTTACATGACTGTATATTATCAAAATCCTGAAGAGTGACATTACAGGTCAAAACAGATAAAATGTATTCAGTTTAACTAAAAAAAAATTGTTAGATTGATGAGAAAGTCTCTGTTACATTAGTGCACTGGCTCTATGGGTGGTGTCATGACAAATACTGCTGTCAGCCAGACTGTCTCTTGGTAAAGCTGCATTGCCCAGTTCATTAACATCTGCACCTGCTTCGGAATGTACAAATACACAAGTGTATGTCTCTGATAATAGCAAAAGTGTGTCCTTTCAAAACTGCTTCTTGTAACCAAATAGGTGTGACCCAAAAGAACGTTTGCAGGTTACAGCATAATTTTCAGCTATTTTAAGATATATATATACACACACAAACCAAAATACATGGGCTACATTCACTTTCAAGTGAAAAACTGAATTACAGGGGATCAACTGGTCCTTTAAAGTCATTTCAACTCGTAAAAGCAAATAAATTGGTTATAATGTAGGACAATGAACTGACAAAATAATGCAGAGACCTTAGGATATTTACTCTTTAGAAAGTCAGCGGCTCCAACAAGTAGTACATTATTTCCCAAATGTAAATTACGCGTACATCCTGTCCAAATTTCAAGTATGAGACCTGCTCTAAACTTGCTTTGAGTAGAATTTATTATTTATATTTCCTAATGAAATGAAAAATACTTCATTTATCCCAGAAGGGAAATTCAATAATGCGACACAAAATATGACTAACTATTGCACTTTGACTTTTCTGCATAGCTGCAATATTCACTCGGTTTTAATTAACGAGCTAACTAAGCTAGCTTAACATGGCTTCCCAAACGAAACCGAACCACTAAATACGCAAAACTTTAACACCACCATACCTAAGCTAACTAGTTGCTCGTTGGGTAACAGTGCGCAACGTAAACTCAAAATAACTTTAAGTATTTGCTAAAAAATCTGCACCACATTATTCAACGCTGGTACATTGAATGCACTGATTAGGCCAAGCGTGGAGAGAGCGGTTAAGCTAGCCTAGCGGCTAACGGCTGCGTGTTAAGCAACAAAAACAAAAAAAAGGAGCACAAACCTCGCTACCTTCACTCCCAGTGCAGTTCGTTAACCTATGAGACAACTTCGATCCACACACACTGAACTAACACAACATTTCTCTCGTATTGTTCTTTTTTTCAGCTTCAGTGTTGTGTTGATGCGTCTTCATACAACCGCATCACGCACGACGAACGACGGCGGACACACGATGAACGGACCTCAGTGGAAATCACTGACAGCACATACGCAGGATATTAGCGTTTCATATCGGTGAACTGAAGCAGCGCTACGTCGAAAAAATACGCCAACGTTGAACAAGCGCAATTTTGCAAGTACCCGGATGTTCTCATATCCGGCGAACTGCTGCCCCCTGCAGGGTTGGAGTGCAGCCTGCGGGGGTCAAACAACAGGAAAACAAAGCTTTGATATGTTAATTATTACCCCTGCACCTGTTTGTACAAGTAAATGGTTTTATTATTAACCTCAATAAACGAATTAAAAAACAACCACTTCTTGACACTGATTATTTTTTGTCTGAGATGATCAGATTTCATTGTACTCTCTAAGGGATTTTAATTTTCCCATAAAAAATGTAAATCAGTGAAATGTAAAGTTTAAAATCTAATTTCAGAGTCAAATTTAGCCAATTGTTCACAAAGCATTATGGAGCTGCTCAACTAGAGACAAATTCTTGATTGTTTATTGTCAGGTGTGACTTGAAATAACTAAAATCAGATCGAGTGATCAGCAGACAGACACTCCTTTGACCAGTGACTGTAAAATGCCACCTTAAAAGGCAGCTCTGTTCAACTGACACAATTCCACAGATGATAAGAGAAAGAAGAGAAAAAGCTATTGTCATGCTGACATGTCAGTTCGTGACTTTGCAGGGCATTTAATGTGACCTGATCCTACCCACCAACTTCATCAAGTCCTTCAAGAAGAGTTACACAATATTCCAAAGCTGCATCAACGACCTAATTTGCTCTTTGCATCGCAAATGTGTGGCTCCTTATTGACTTGTGATTTCTGGTCTCTGACCCCACTCTCAATCTCCATGTTTTCATTTCCAATACAATGCGTACCTGACTGTTTCATGACGCCTTTTCTGTGTGTTGGAACAACAAATATGTATTCCCCTATGTTAAAAAGAATGGATACAATTAAATAAAATATTCTATGTTGTGTTTATATTTGAGCCCAGTATAAATTGTTTCTTCCCACTGCAAGTTTGCCCTAGAGGCAGTTCAGCTTTTTACCAAGGCAAATTAAAGAAACACAAGACAATGTAAAAAGGCATTTTTAGGATAAATCATTTATTTTAAATCAGTGGCAGCAAACTGTACCAATTGTTATTTTCCATTTTAGGTTTTCTTCTCAGCTCTGAAACACAACCTTTTTTCATTCTATAAAATCAGGACCCCATACTTTGACTTCTTGTATAGGTATAATTTATAGTGTAGTTTTTATGTCTTTTTACTGTGTCAATCAGAGACTTTTAAAAAAAAAGAGAGAGAGACAAATTCATGTTTTTATATTTAGCATGCTTGAATGCTGTAATGCTTTTTTTTATATGATCTACCAAAAGAATATTTTAAATCTGCTACGGCTGATTCAGAACTCGAAAAGAAGACATTAGACCCTTTTCAGAGTCTTTACATTTTGTTGCCTTTTATTTTCTGTATTGATTCTGAAATTCTTTCACTTGTTTTTAAAGCACTTCATGATATTGCATTGGCATACGGTTCACATACTTATAGTACAGCCCCTGGCAGCAGTCTGTTATTCGTTCCAAAGTGCATGAATGAAACCTGAGGCTATAAGTTTTATGTTCCAAGCTGCTGGAACAGTCTGCTGAGGACACAGGGCAGCTGGAAGCTTGAACATCTTCAAACCTCCTACTACAGCCTGTATAAGTATGATTCACGAACATCACTTACTCTCTTTTATTTATTTATTTCATTGTTTTGTGTTACTTTTAGGCTATTTTACTCTATTTCTATATTTTGTCTTTATAATCTATTTTATCAGGTGTTTTTTATTATTTAATTTGACTTTTATGTTTTCCTTTTTAATATTTATTTTATTTTGTTTTTATTACTGAATTTTCTTTGTTTTGTCTTTTTATGCAAAATTCAATATCTACTTTTTTACTATCTTATTTCAATACTTTGTCCTTGTAATATTTTAAATGTATTATTTGTCCTGTCCTAATAATGGCTTATCAGTCATCTATGGAGCACTTTGAGCTGCACTAAACTGTATGAACGGTGGATTGATATCTTTTATGTGCAACACGTGCTCTTGGCTCAGTTGTACATTCTGTTTTTAAGGTCTGTATTTGAAGGCTGACTGCTCTTCCTGTGTCTACACTGTAGGAAAAGACAAACTTTTGCTTGTAATACAACAGATTACAAACAATACTATTAATTAAATGTAAGTAAGTTTGGTAGTGGGTAATATAAATTAATTTCAGCCCTTTAAAGTTACCCATTTAGCACCAAAAAAAAATATTGCATTAGTGTTGTTGTGTGTTAATTATATTGGTTATGTTTAGCCATTTCTATTGATTATATTTTTGTTAGGCACAATTTAGTTTGCCAAAATAGATATTTAAAAAATACTTCATGTAAACAGCAGATTAAACAAGATAAAACAAATAAAGATACAAAAAAGTTTCAATGCAGTGCAAGATCTGAAAAAATAAAAGTCTCAAATGAATTTTAATAAAAGTCAGCGGCAAACTGGAAAGTCCTAATTCTTGATTTAAAAGAACTAGGGGTTGTAGTAGAGCATACATTTTTATAAAAGCATGTCTAAACTTCTTACATGCAGATATGAAGGTGCACAAAAATATGTTTTATGTTAAAAAAAAAACAGTAAGTCAAACAGCTGTTTTTCTTGAACTAAAGTATAAAATCAGACAAATATTATTATTATTATTATTATTATTAGAAATTGCTGAGGCCATGATTTAGGCTTTTTTTTTTTTGTTCACTGATTTAAATTTGTACACAGTGGTGCTTTTATTCTGAAAAACACGTGGACCAGAAGAAGGGCAGGTCACAGCCTACTACAGCTTCTGATTCAAACTGCAGAGTTTGAGCTTCCTTGATCGTTTCAAACCTCTTTTTCTGTGTTTGACAGTCTTTCGGGCAGAATGTCGACAGGTGACGACGTGCGGGAAAACGTGAAGGTATCTGAGTTTAAACTTTCTGTTCTGTCGGACTTTGCAGAGACGCTTTCTCGAAGCTCCTCGGACACACACACACACACACACACACACACACACACAGTTACATAATAACCGTTCAGACATGTTTAATCTGCAACCCAGAAGTTTTTTATTGAACTTGACACCGCTGCTGTGTCCTCAGGTAAACCGACAGAGTAGGAGTTGAGTTTGTGCAAAGGTCAAAAGTCTTCAATTTCAAGCTGAAGACATATTTTACGCGGTTAAAGAAAGTTTGAAACTAGACCAAATGTATGTTATTTTCATGATTCATTACATTGAATTACAGTGTAGCGCCCATAAATGTAAATGCATTGAAGGAACTGATATTATATTACTGTGCACGACTGAGCAAATCCCTGCATTATACTGCATGAAATATAAAAAAATAATAATAATAATAATGTTTTTTTCAACTGTTTTAATTGTAATTTTTTGAACAATTCATTGTTAAGTCTGCAGAGTTTACAAATTTAAAGAATTACAGATGATAACGAGTACAATCACGGAAATACATACATATATAAATACATACATACATACATACATACATATATAAATGTTAAACCTTTTAAAAAAAAAATAGGCCAAAAATCTGTTTTAAAGCAATGGTAATTTGTTCTTTTACAACTGATAGTAAAATTCGATTTTTTTTTTCTTTTTACTATATTGAAATCAGCAAAAAAAATATTCTACAGATATTTACCTTCATTAAAAAAAAATTATTTGGTATTATTTTTATTTAATTACACATCTTGTAAAAATAACAAAAGAGTACTCATTTACATACTGATTTTTAAAAAAATTTTTAAAAAAAGGCCAAATCTGTAAATAATGTCTAAATCCCACATCATTATTTTTCCCAATAATAGTTTGTTCTTTTACACTGTGGGACTGCTGTCAAATTATACTGTCCTACTGTATTATTTTAGCATTATTTTACAGATATTGACCTGTTCTCCCACTTTTCTTTTCTTTTACCATTTTCATAGTTGAATTCACTTTTTTCATGCCATTATCACATTTTTTTTCTCGCAGTATATTTTACAGTGCGGTGCAGGACTAGTGAGGATGTGAGTTTTGTAATACTAGTTTAAATGCTCCAATAGAATTTGACCTGCAACAACCTGTGAAGAAGCAGGTAAATGTTACAGCATGTGTAAAGTAGACCGGTGACATTTAACTGATTCATTGTTAACATTTAAATTAAAATTAAATTAAACCTCTGATTTCAGTTTCATAAATATAAATAATTTGATGCTGTTTTTACTCCTTTGTGACAGTAAACTGAATATCTTTGTGTTTTAAACGAAACAAGACATTATCTTGTGTTTTTTAAACACTGATGAACATTTTTCACATTTTTCTGACATTTTATTGACAAAATGACAAAATGTGTTCGTTGCAGCTGATGTGTAAAGACAGTCATGTTGACTGTGCATCTGTTGACTTCTGTGTCACTGTGCAGAAATACTATGGCAGTCGACTGGAGACTACTGCTGATGTGCAAACCAGCGCTGCCACCTCCTCCTCCTGCGGCATTTCGTTCCGCCCCATGCCAAAAAGTGTGAAAGATGCTCTGAGCCTGGTTCACCCAGAAGTCAGCAGAAAGTAAAGCCGGCCTCGCTTTTGAATTAACTTTTGACTCAAAAACTTCTGCAGCAATAACTGGAATCTATTTTCTGTATATACAACAAGCATTTCTATAGAATTACAGAAGATTAAGAGCTTCTGATTAAATTCAATTGTATTCTCCTCCACTTATTTTATTACTCAGAGACATCAAGATTCTTACACTGAGTTGACAGATTTGTTAAAAATCCATTAAGATAATGCAACAGTTTTATAGAGAAATTACTCTTTGTTTACTCTCCTGTAAACACATTTGAAATATGACACCTATATATGACAAAAGTCTATGCAAACATTATGCTGTGTTTAGTTTTTGATCATCTTTTACACCATAAAATGATATCTGTATAGTTTGGATTCCCCTTCGACTATAGTAGCTGCTACTAACAATATTTTTCTCTAGATTCTTCGGTTGCGGTCTTCCATTTCCATCGAAGCTGGAGGGCTGCAGAATCTTGGACCTCGGCAGCGGCTCCGGCAGAGACTGTTATGCCTTCAGTAAACTTGTTGGACCGAATGGACACGTGACGGGGCTCGATATGACAGAGGAGCTGGTATTTACACACAGCTGTAAACATGGCGCTTGATCCCTGTGCTCTTTTTATTTTTTCATTGATTTAACTCGTATCTGTTCAGATCGCAGTATCCCGTCAGTACATCGAGTATCATCAGAAGACGTTCGGCTACGAGAAGCCCAACGTCACCTTCGTCCAGGGATACATGGAGAAGCTCGGTGAAGCTGGCATCCAGAGCAACTCAGTGGATGTTGTGATGTAAGTCTGAGTTACAGCTGCAACATCTGTCGATTGAAAAAAAAAAAAAAACTTTCATATCTTAATAAATACACTGTTTTTCTCTGTAATCTACTCAGATCCAACTGTGTAATCTGTTTGTGCTCTGATAAAAGAGCAGTGCTGCAGGAAGCCTACAACGTCCTCAAGGTTGGTCTGATGAATCACCACAACTTAGTGCAAAGATGTGTTAAAGCTCAATAGAAAAATGTACAAAAAAATGTCCCTTATTTTATACAGGAGGGCGGTGAGCTTTACTTCAGCGACATGTATGCCAGCAAAGTCATTCCTGATCACATGAAGCAAGATCCAGTACTGTGGGGTAACAGAAATCTTTGAATAGTGCAATAAAAGGCAATAATACAATGCAGAATCCCTGTGTCACTGTTATATAATGTCGTCTGGCTCAGGTGAGGGAATGGGCGGCTCTCTGTTCTGGCAAGACCTTATCTCACTGGGCCACAGCGTCGGCTTCAGCACTCCACAACTTGTTTCTTCGAGCCGCATCGTGGTCCACAACAGTGAGCTCAAAGCAAAAGCAGGTACACAACTTTGACCTGAAACAACAATAAAGAATTATTTTGCTTCCACGGCTGAGTGATCTCTTTGTTTTACAGGCGACATCAGCTATATTTCAGCCACCTACAGGCTCTTCAAGCTGCCCAAAACTCCAGTGCTGTCCAAAGCAACTGTGACCTATAAAGGAACAGCAGATTTCCCAGATCAGCTGGACTTTGATTCCTGCCACAGTTTCAAGGTATCAAAGTCACCTCAGAGTAGATCAATACTAAATTGCTTTATTGATATTTACAGCAGAACATTTATTAACCCGTTGTTCCAGGAGGAGGAGAAATAAGTCTGCAAGTGTTATAGTTTTTAATTTCAAAGAAACGAGGTGTATCTCCTCATTGAAACAAAAATATTTAATGTTATTGAATTAATAAGATTAGTGTTCATTTTATCCTCTGCAGAAAGATGTGGCAATGGAGGTAAATGGAGAGATGGCAGCAATCCTCCAGAGTTCCCGCTTCTCCTCAGATTTCAAAATCCAGATGTTGGATAAACAGGACTCCAGCCCTGAGTCAGCACCGAAGGTAGATGATATTCTGGGTTCACTGTGGCTGAAATGCTTTAATTCTGAAAGTTTATCTGTTGGCTACATTAAGAAATAAACCGCCCGACAACAGTTGATCCACTTTTTAAAATAAGACTGCAGTTATTTGATATATGCAGCAGGTAGCTTTTTACAGCAGTAATGCAGCATACATTGTGATGGCTACAGACTTGTTTGCGTTACTGACCACTGATATTCTTTTTTTTCTTCTAAGTACTGCCACCTGGACCCGTTTCTGTGGTCTGACAAAATGGGATCCTCTGTGAAGCAATGCTCCAAAACGGGCAAATAAAGAAGCAGCTGAATCCAGAAGAAGAAAATGTGATGAAGACATAAGATAACAGCAGCAAATTAAACTCCTACTAACGTCTTCTATTTCCCTCTTTTTTAAACTTTTGATTTGTAGATTTCGTCTTTAAAGACTTCCTAAATCATCTTAGTCATGTAGTTACGGCATTTTTTTTCAGATGACTTCATGGTTGGCAGGTGTTGTCATAATCAAGTGTCACTTTAGCATTACTATAAATCATATTTTTTTCTTATTCCACAGTTGATTGTATTTGTGTAGAGACTAAAATGACTGAAATAATATAGTAACAAGAGTTTCTTGAACTTGTGTTTTTCTAATTCTAACTTGAAAATCTGCATATGAATGAACTGAAAGCATCTTGCAAATATTTGTGTTGCATCTGTCATCTTTCCTCTGTACTTGACGTTTTAAGACTATAAATGCTGCTGTGTTCACAGGCAGTGGATGGTTTGTGTTAAGTCTTGTAAGAGTACAACAAGGCAGGACTGGCAACAATTAACAACATAAATGAAAATAAAGATAAAAGATGTAATAATAATTCACTGATGTGTCTGATGTTTGATAAGATTGCACTGTATATGGTTCCAAAAACATTTTGACACTTATCCTACTGGCCTCAGAGCTATGCTTTTTTCATATCTCACAGGTTGTTTATTCTGTAATTCCACTTTTTGTGACTTTGTCAACAATTCCTCATGACTTAATAATATTTTCTGTTCATGTTATGATTACTGTTTAAAATAGAACAAATAAATCAATATATTAAGGATCTTTAGAGGGCAACCAGTCAAAAGTACACAATTCTGGCTATGTAGTTTTAAAAGATGGAACTATTTACTGCAGTGATTTAAGGATTGAGGAGAATGTTCTCTGTCAGTCATTCTGAAGGAAACAAACAGGTTTCCTTATGTGCTTCATCAACAACCTGAAATGCTGCTCCTCCTAACATAAAATGAGGTTCAAAATAGTAAATACAATATCAAATTTCACGATAAAATGCTTTGTGACTATCAAATTTTTTGTTTTGTTTCGTTTTATTCTCCAAGATAAGACTAAAATAGTGCATCATTCACATGACTGACATGCAATCTGAGCATTATCAGGACATGGTGCGAGTTTGGGGAAAAAGCACAAAGTTAACCACTCTTAAAGCTGCCAAGGAAAGGGTATGTAGGAAAAAAGGCTGGAGGATGTTTGTCTTTTTTCATGATGCTCTGTCATGTGCATGTATGCAACAAATCTAGAATATATCTCTATAATGCAGTTTTGAGGGGCTCCGTGGTTAGCACCCTTGCCTTGCAGCTAGAAAGTCGCTGGTTCGCGCCCTGGTGAGGACACCCGGGACCTTTCTGCGTGGAGTTTGCATGTTCTCCCCGTCCATCGTGGGTTCTCTCCGGGTTTTCCGGCTTCCTCCCACACAGTCCAAAAACATGTTGAGGTTAATTGGTGATTCTAAATAGTCCGCAGGTGTGAATGTGAGTGTGCTTGGTTGTCTGTCTCTAAGTGTAGCCCTGTGATAGACTGGCGACCTGTCCAGGTGAAGCTGCCTTCGCCCTAAGTCAGCTGGGATTGGCTCCAGCCCTCCTGCGACCCTAGTGAGGATTAATAGGCGTATAGATAATGGATGGATGGATGCAGTTTTGAGTGACAGGCAGATCTAGATTGAAATTTTGGGACACAAATTTGCCAAATATACTGTTTGCATGAAATTGCTAAAAACAAAATGATAACAGAAGCAAAGGATGTTAAATACATCTTCATGTACTAATGTGGATGGTATTCAGGATCAAAGGAGCAATTTGTATTAAAGACAAGTATCTATAGTCGTTTGATACAATATGCAAGTTTCCGAAAAAAAAAACATTTCCAATAGACATTACCTCACTAATAGTGTTTTTAAAAGGACAGAATAATTTTTTTTTTTTGTTATTCTTACTGTAGTGTATTTTTGGGGTCATTAGTCCTTGTATGTTAAATATGTTGGTAAGATGAGGGTTAATCAGCACCATTCATACCTCTTAAATCTTATTGACAGAAGTCGAAAAAGTTACCCACAGGTGAGAAATGATTTATTGTAGTCAGTTTGACAAAAACTGCAACTGATAATAATAAATACGGCATTGTGTAGATAATCAGAGTCGTTGAAATTCTTAACATTACATGTAAGTTTAAAGCCACAGTATCAATTACGTACCTCAGAGTGTTCAGATGTATCTTTGAAGAAGCTGAAAGGTGTTTAAAAATGCTATAAGGTATTTTCTTAACTGCTCTATTTTTAATTTCATAAGGTAAACAATGAGCTTTACAGAATATGAGAAATGCTAAACAATAAGCTGTAGATCTGCTGTAAACATTTGCCGTACAACAGACGAAGGCATTACAGTACATTACAGTGCACATGAAAGTGACAAACACAAAAACAAACTATGCAGCATTTTTAGATCAGTGGAATGGTGCGAGTGTTTTTTAAATGATTTTAGTGGATAAATAAATGTACTTTTTATGTTTCTATTACTGTACTACAAAACCTAATGTATAACAAAAGTTTTGGATAGATTTATGTTGCGTAGCTACTACGGACCACAGACTGTGACCACTTAGAGACGTCACACTTTTGGGACAGTGGCAGTGAAAACGTGAAATAAATACGGTTCACCAGTCAATCATATAACTGTGTGTGCACAAAGAGTAAAATCGATAAAACATTGCCTGCCACTATGGTAACAGTGCTCTTGAGTGTGAACAGAGATGAGGTCTGTTTGGTTTTCAGGAGCCCTGAGGCAGTTAATGTAGCAATCCAATTTGGCACTATTTGAGAGCGAGGGAGAGAAAACAATAAAGGGTCGATGCTACATCCTTCGTCGCAAAGAGGTGTTACTCCTGGAGACGGCAGGCGTCTCTTTACATCTGCAGCCAGCTCAAGTCGTCAGCTCTGAACAGATAAGGAAGAGAGAAAACAAATAGTCAGCAATGACAAGGCATCCAGGTTATTTGTAATTTGGGATATGATGTTTATATATAACATTAACTAAAACTATAATTTATAGTCCCTGTTGTGTTTACATGACTTCAGTGTCATCAAGGTTTCAAGTCTTCAACATCCTGCAAGTCTCTGTCACGTCAATACCAACTGAATTATACCACAACAGATAACTATACTGTATGGCAATAGTTAAAACTGCTATAAAGTATATGTGCATGCCGCCAGTTTTACTGTTTTGGTTCACTTTCAAACATAATTTTCAGGCACAGCCAGCTTGTTTCAGTGAACAATCTATAAACACTGACTGTGTGCTACAAATTAAGTTTGACTTAGCCAGGCTTTTTTGTGTTAGCTGGCTCAGTCCATCCATCCATTTTCTATACACCGCTTAATCCTCATTAGGGTCGTGGGGGGGCTGGAGCCTATCCCAGCCGACTTAGGGCGAAGGCAGGGGACACCCTGGACAGGTCGAGCTGGCTCAGTAAAACCTGAAATCCCATTCAGAGATAATGGGTATCACAACTCTGGCTTTTTCTACCTGGCGCTACCATCAGTTTTGGAGTTTAAAGAGTCATGTGACTCTTTAACACAAAATGGACTAAGTGCTTGATACTTGTCTACTCCAGTCAAGAGGAGCAGGTTGTTTTTCTTGATGCAAGAGAAGAATGCTGTTGAAATGCTGTAATATGATTGTTTTACCACTCAGTGACTCGTAATGCAGGGTCTTATTCCCAACAAGTGAGCTGCATATTACAGCTCCTAAAATTTAAACTTCTTATATATTCAAACATGATACTCAAGAAGTGCCCTTACGTAGGTCTGGCAATGCTCCATAAAGAAGGATACATGGAAATCACTATAGGTTTTGGTCAAATCAAAATCATAATGTTTCTGATTGAATATTCTTTGAGATAAACACCAATAAACTAATCAGTCACCTATTCCTTGAATGGACAGTAAATCAGGACCGAGCATTATAAACACATTTATGGGGTGCACCCAGATAGTTCAACAGGTTGAACAGGCAACCCATGTACAGGGGCTATGGTCCCCGACACAGCAGCCACAGGTTTGATTCCAGCCAGCGGCTCATTTGCTGCATGTCCTTTCCCGATTCTTCTCCCCATGTTTCTCTGTCACTCTTTCACTGTCCTATCCATTAAAGGCAGAAAAGCCTAAAAAATATCTTTTTAAAAAACCACACATTTATGCATTTTCTGCATCACCTGGCAACTCACCGCACAGATTACGGCTCAACAGGTTCACATATATAACGTTTTCCCTCAGCTGAGAGTTTGTATCGTTCATATAGAATCGTCAGGAAAAGAACTAGTGATGGGAAGATGCGCCTTACAGCCAATTTAAATCTGATACTCTGAACATAACCTTCTCTGGAGCATGTTAGCTGTGCAGAATCAGTTAGCATGGTGAACTAGCCAGGTTAAATGAGAGAAACGTATGTGACCCAAAAAAAAATCTGATTGTAGTCTCAACATACCTCACTCATCCATTAACCTCACTTCACAATACACCCCTCAAATGTTCTTAGGATTTGAAGGATAAGAAAATAGAAGTAAAAGGGAGGTTATTAGAGTTTAAGTGATGTTGACACAAACATGACGCACAAATGGAAGATAAGATTGCTTCATATCTGTGGAATATGGTTTGCCATAACAGCTAAAGGCAATGACGTCCACAGTGTGCTTCTGCTACCCCCATGTGGCAAAAAAACTCAATGCAGGCGTAACACAATAGATTCCTTTGTCATCACCAGTAATAAGACCATTGGCTGCTCAGTAGGGCAGGACCCAAATAGCTGAATAGCCGACTATTTGCTTGCTGTGCTACAATTGGGATATCAATTTTGATCTCTGACTACCCCAAACAAGCTGTTTTCACAACAACAGTGTCACTCACTGAGCCTGTGCTTTTGTTAGGATTTGGCCGGTAGCCATTATCTCTGCAACACGAGACACAGCGGGATCAGACATCAGGCTGGCCACAGCAACCACCACCTCATCCCTGTCAACAAAAGACACAAGAAAGAAATTTTATGCAAATTGAAAGAATTTATGTTCAGTTGTATGGAGAATTTCTCCACAGTTGCTCACTTGATGTAAAATGCCACAAATTTCCTTTCTTCCACTTGGCCTTTGAATATGATTTCTGTGTATCCTTCTGCATAACCTAGAAAGAGGAAACAAAAGAGGGAACAGAGACTCAGCACAGTGTGGGTTTAAATATTCTTATGTGACATTTTCTCAGTAAATATTCCACCTGCATATCTGATACTCTTCCCAAGCAACACAGTCCAGAAGAAAGGAATAGACTCAATTGTGGTTGGTTTCTTCAGCATGTTTAGAGCTGCGATTCTCCCTGGTACAACAAACAATGAAGTTGAACCAAGGAAGCCAATTATTGTCACCCACAACATGATTCACAAATATCTCAACAGAATGTTTTTGATCCTTCAGCTTCTTACCGTGAGCCTGTGACATCTGCCAGTGACCAGTGTTGACCCTCTGGTCACCACGAATGGTCAGAGGGAACGAGGTGACATCTCCAGCAGCAAAAACATCGGCTATGTTGGTCTTCATGTACTGTTTGAATAGAGAAAGAAGTTTACAGCAAAAGAAGAAAGAAAAAGAAAAGAATATACCTGGACAGAATTAGCTGAAGGATTTAGAAGACATACAATATCCATATCTGGACAAACATGTCAAAAGACAAGCAACACAAATTAACTGTATCCTTCAGCCTAAGTCCTGAATGTTAAGCTGTCAGGCCATGCCTGTGCTTCATTAGTTATGTCAATATCACAGTGATTACAGTTTGGCTGTGGGCTTTGCCCTCTATTCACTGTTACCTTGTCAACAATCACAGCTTTTTTTGAATCCATGTCCACGTTGCTTCCTGCCAAGAAGTCTGAATTGGGGATGACACCTGAAAAGTAAATATTTGTGTTCTATTTTTGCAGGACTGCACAGGAAATGTCTTGATTCATGGGTTTAGGTAACAATTACATATAAAGCAGAGCAGTGTTTGCAGTATTAACACCTGCATATTAAAAGTCCACACATTCAAATAACCCCAAACCTGATTTTCATCCTGTGATTCTGATAACTTTTTTTTTTTAAATACATAACACTTTTTGAATTTGATTTTGAATAATATAATTACCAATTCCAGCAATCACCACATCAGCTTCAAGGACTGTACCGCTCTTTAGCACCACCTCCTTCACCTGAAACAAGAGTCTAAATTTAGGGATCTACAACAGAATATAATAAAATTTTTTGTGGCAGTAGGTTAATTTTATGGAAAATATTGTGACATGTCAGAAAAATCACCAATGTAAATAATAATAACAATAATGATGTCGAAGTTTATTTAGCAGCTTCTTTTTCAGGGTTCTAGTATTGTTCATGCTGGCTCACTGGGATATTTAAATATCATCACCTCTGCTTTTTGTACTGTAAAGATATAAAACGTGAAAAATATGTGAAGATAGTAAAGGCTCACTTGCCTTGCCGCTCTCCCCTCTGATCTCAGTGACTTCATCTTTCATGTGGAACTTCACCTTCTGTTCCTCCAACATCTTAAAGGAGAAACTGTGTTTTAGTTTTTTTGTCTTATAAAAGCTGATAAAATCACATCGAGCAGTGACAGTGAAATGCTGCCGTCATCACCATGTCTTACTTGCATACTCATGTTCCCAATCTCTGGTCCCAAAGTCCGCTCATATGGGTATTTGGAAGTGCCAACCAAAGCAACGCTAGCAGCTTTGTCTGATAAGTAGGATGCAACCTCCATACCTGTTTTTGTGATTGAAAAACTCATCAGCGAAGTGCAAATGCCCTACATGCGGCATAAACAGTCAAATACTTGAATAGCTTATTCATTACTGAGCATCACGTTAACATGACATTCAAATGTCTTCAGAAAAACTAACAATGTTCTCGTCATTTTGCAGTATTTGGTCACCTATGAAAGATGCCCCAATAACGACAGCCTTGTGTCCGGGGCAGGAGCTGATAATCTCTTTGGCGTCTTCGTAACACTGCAGCAAATTCACTCCCTTAAGGTCCGAACCAGGACAACTGAGAGGCCGAGCTCTGTGAACAGATAAACAACCATTATACTACTAATATTACATGGAATCCTCTTAACAATTAAATGTTTCTCATTAATCTAAAAACACTTCAAGTGTGCTTTTCTTTATGAAAGACCCGTGGAACAGCGCAGGAGTCTCACCTGCCGCCCGTTGCGATGAGGAGCTGGTCATAATGCTGCAAAGTGCCATCGCTTATCTTCACCGTCTTGTCAGCTGGGTTTACCGACACCACCTGAGGCACAACGCACACGCTTTACCATTCTCCCAGCGAGGATCAACTTTTGCAAGACAGTGAGACAACATCACAAATAATACATACAGTTAAGACAGTTTGCATTTTTGCCTCTCACCTCTTTCTGTGTCCACACTTCTATCCCATACTGTTGTAAAAAGTCACTTGACCGGAGGAGGATGCTGCTGCTGTCCAGATTCATAGCCTGAAAGAGGCAATACCATTTAGTAAAAACTTACATTTAAATACAAACACTGACAGAAAAAAAAAAAAACACTCACTGGTTGGACACAAATATGTATGAAGTTTCTCACCTTACTCAGTTTGGTCTTGTCAAATGGAAGCAGGGTGTCTTTGGTTATGATGATAATGCGACCCTGGTAGCAATTTTGCCGAAGTGTCTCAGCACAAACCAGAGAGGCAGGACCTGAAATCACAAAATTTATGTTCAGAGTGTCATTTTTTCAGGGTACACTCAGAGAGGAAGCTCCCTAAACCTTAATCTCTTTCTTCGTCTGGGTAGAAAAGTTCTATTTATTGATATAGCTCAGGCTCAGGTGGTAAAGCAGGTCTCAAACTGAAAGACAGAACAACGTTGAGTACCACTGAGGTACAAAAGTGCATTGCAATTGCAGACCATTTACTTTTTTATAATACACAGGCCACAAACTAAAAATGTTGCCAACCTGCTAGTGAATTTCAGATAAAATGGATTAACAGCTTGAACTCCTCTTGTATTTATTCCATCTAGTCCTTACCTCCTCCTATTAGCAGAATAGTATGTTTGATTTCTGGTACCACTGTGCACATCTCCTTCACCCGCTTGGTCGCCTTCAGAGACTACAAGAGACAATCAAATGGTTTAAAATGGTGTATTTTAAGACAAAATGAAAAGAAGCTTGTGATTATCTTAAGTTTCTTTAACTTATGTCTCTTACTTTTTTGTCGATGGAAACGTACACCTTTCCATTCTCAACTTTGACCTGTTAAATAAAACCAGATTAAGATGAATTTAACTTTAAGCAGAGATTCATGTTTCCAAAGGTAAAATGTTGACAAGAGCATCCATTCTAAAAAGAGGAAGGTTTTGAAAGGGAGAGGAAATACTAGAACAATAATATTATCTGGTACCAGAACTAAAAATGTATTAGATTGATCTTGATTAACAGGCACTGCAAAATTTTGATTTTGACTTCCTCTGTTTGATTAGCTCCAAAGCCAAATCATACTGTATATGTACACATAAATATGTCAGTGTATGTGCTTAATCTATCTAACAAGCTTAAATTTTGAGCTGGTGCTTAACACTTCACACTAAAAGGAAATAAATTGTGAGGATCCTAGACTTTTGTTTCACTGGGTTTTTGGGTTTTTGTCTGTCTTTGGGTTTTGGTGGGTGTGCCTTTGTTCACTGCAGGTTGGGCGGAGCCGATCAGGGGAGATCGCTGGCAGCTGTGGCTCATCAGCTGTGCCCAGCTTAAATACTGGCGTCTCACAGAAGACCGACGCCAGAGGATTGTGATACCTACCACGGGGTAACAGTCAGGCCACGAGCTACTGCACCGCACTGAGCATTTCCAGCACTTCTGTCGTTCTCGAGTTTATGGTATATGTTTCTCTGCCTGTCTCCAGTTCTCCTCCTCGGCTCCAGCACTCGGCACACCTCCAAGCACTCCAGCGTTTGTCACCCACGGGAGTTCACGACCACGGACACCTTCACCGGGATATCCTTCACGAGAGCACCCCCCCCACGAGCATCGAACCTTGAGCACCGGACCCCTGCGCACCACCCCTGTTTCCCTCTCCACGGCCCCCTCTCTACACCAGGAAAACCTCCACAGCGGCATGCACGAGCACCGGACCTCCTCGCACCACCCTCGGCACCCCCCACGACCGGCACCCCTTCACCGGACTATGTTTCTGCCTCCTGGTGCCCATCACTCCACCACCTTCCCTTAATAAATCCTGTTTCCTTTAACCCTTCTCCCCGTCTCCCTTTTCGTTTGGGTCCACCCGCACTATCACCTGAGCACGAGTCGTCACATAAATGCACAAGTGACTTTATTTTAGATAGGATACAATGTCACTCTTGGATTTACTCATGTTAAGAGTAGTAAATTGCTATAAAATGTTATTTTACCTTATAGCTGGGTACACAGTCCAGACCTGGATACTCCTCTATGTCTCCAGTTTTCACATTGAAGCAAGCACCGTGAAAAGGACATCTCACTCTGTCACCGATCAAAGCTCCTGAAAAGTCATTATTTCAAAAATGGACTTATATATACTTGCATATTGTGAGAGAAAGAATTTGGAAGTAAATGAAGGCTTTACCTTTAACCAGAGCAGCACTGTAATGAGTGCACTGGTTCCCAATAGCACTGTACTGACCGTGGGTTCGGACTAACAACACTTTCTGGTCCCCCACAGTGACTTCTTTCATTCTTCAGTCACACACAAAGGGCAAAATAAGAAATAAACATACAAAATACAAATAAAGGCTATAAAGCTTAGAGTCAATGTGACAGATAGCAACACTTAGACAAAAAACTGATGTTTTTCCAGTGAGCAGCGTTGTGACTTACTGTCCATCTTTGAGATCAGCCTCATCACAAACCAGTCCTGTCACCTCCTCCTGTTCCTCACGCTGACCTGACTCTTGGCGCCGATTCATTTCTGCAAGATACAAATCTCATCAAGAAAACATCTCTACTGTAAGACTGACTGGCTTGAATTACAAGTGAATGTTAGTGGACCATAGAAACAGGTTTTACAAAAAGCACGCAACATACAGGTACTAAGCAGTACTAAGCCTATTATGCTTTTGATTTGTTGTTTTATTCTTTATGTTAACCACATAACCAGAAAAACGACAGATTAATTCCATGGATGAGAATTATGTAATGTCTTTTACCTTCGGTTAAAGCTGTTGTTGAACAGTTTCTTTGTGAGAAGGATCTTTAAAATTTCAAATCATCAAAGTTTTAAGAACAGTTTCTGCTGATTTGCCTGTAATTTTTATATGATGGATATTCATGAAGATATTTTTGAAAATTTAGCTTGATATATCTAATCCCTTTCCCTTTTTTTCAAGATACATTTTTTGACTCACATTTAGCACTTTCTTGCACACTGAAATTTAAGGCTATGTTTGGACAACAATACCTCATGAACTTTTAAAAATAAAAGGAAAATGTCACTGGTATTTCTCATCATGTCATTGATTCAGAATTTGCAATGATCATGAGAATAAATTTACCACTAAAGTCTTGCTAACATACCTACATCAAATTCCCATTAAATATATGTCTAGGCATGAAAATGTCCCACAATATAAGCATAATGGGTTTTTTTTTATCTGGGCGATATTAATATGGTCGAGCAGAAGCTCCCTGATGTTTTAGGATGGAATAACTCAAAAAAGTGAAGCTGTTAGTTTGTACAGAGAATGTTTGCATTCAGTTAAAGCAGTTGCTACTACTTTATTCACACAGTCTTTAAAAGGAAATTACCTAACAACCAATGCAGACAGTCTAATATTAAGCAAACACCATAAAAGTTAATAAAGATCCTTTCTACGCTGTGCAGAATATATATGGGAGACGCCTAACTGGGGCTCCTGGGTGATGGAGAGGGCACATCTTAACATCCACAGCGATTGCAAATTTTGCATCGTATATTTCTACTACTTCTTATGGTTAAAGTTATGAAAACAAGCGTATAGTAGCTATTGATATTCTGAAATTAGAAGCCATGACGGTGAAGCTGCCACAACAGCCTATATGGACTATCTACTTAGCAGGTGTACAGCTAATGTACAACATCTATATCTGTATATTTAATGGCTTTAACGACATTATTTACTACATAAAGCTCTGTAACGCACCTCTTCAGTGTCTCCAGTCCTGCTGTGTTCAGTCTGCTGCTCCTCTGCAGTGTTTTCAGGAAGAACGAGGCAGGAGAGCAGCCCGCGTGACAGCCAACCGGCGTCCTCGTGCTCACCCGCGAGCTCCTCCCACACCGTCACCAGGGCAACCGGCGTCATGGAGGAGGAACCGAAGCAGCCTGAGAATGATTGAGAGGTCGTAGAGAGAAGGCCATAGATATATATAATAAAGGCCTTTTTTAAATACATCGATGGAAGAGGCAGCCTTGACTCTCACTTACCGTAAACTAGTGATGTTAGATAACACAGATTTGCTTTCTGATCCAATACTGAGTAAAATGCAGGCTGGTATCGGCGATACCGATCTGATACGATACTTTGTGCAAACACACCAAATATGTGTGTTAAATCTAAAAAAAAAAAAAAAAAGTAATGTATTTCAAATCATAGCTTTATAATTCTACAAGACATCAGAGTAATTTGTTTATTTATTTTAAACTTGGAAGTATATTGAGGTAGCAGCCTCATTTACAATATAGCCGAGCTAATACAACAACAGAAAACCCAAACAGAGTACATATATAATAAATGCCACAATAATTACACAAGTTTGTCAATACCTACATTTGAAAATATTCATTTAACAGTTCAAGCCAATTAGACTGATTGTAAATAATAATATATTTTTTAGATTAAATGTTATTTTTTATCCATCTTTTCTAGTATATATTTTTCTAAGTTAACCATGGCTGGGTTTAGGACTTGGTGCTGATGACTTTTTTGTGTGCCCTGACCTGCTACACATGCCCACCGAATCTTGTAGCTGTAGGTGAAACGGCCTTCCGACAGGACTCCGGTGAATACCAGAATTACAGCAAAAAAGGACAAAATGGCCATTGATCAAAATTGCACGGGCCGCCATTTCCAAACCAGGTCTCATCGGCGGAGCGTTTTGATAACTTTTAATCACCACGTCCTGTAGTTTGTGCTGGTCAAATTAGAGGTGTGTACGACGTATCCCCTAGGAGGAGATAGATTTTGAAAATGGCCAAAAAAGGCCATTTTTGAGTGAAAATGGCCTGGTATGCTCGCCGTTTTTCCAACATGATGGATTTCCTGTTGGGTTTACAGGAAAATGCTACGAACGTTTTTGTGCGTCACGAGTTGTTACATATGTGTGCCGAATTTTGTAGTTGAAGGTGAAACATAGCCCCAATGGGACTGTGTTGAAATATTGTAGGGGGTGCAGTTGAGCTGTGTTGCATTTTAGAGCTTGGTGCTGGCAACTTTTTTGTTTTTCCTGACCTGCTCTATATGCCTACCAAATTGCATAGCTCTAGGTCAAACGTGCTTCCGATGGGACTTGAAATTTTCAAGGTGGTGCTATGGAGCAATTTATCTATTGAGGTGTGTATATTTCTTCCAAATAATAAAATTTTTCGCCGGGTCTGATGTGTGTGGCAAGTTTCGTGCAGTTTCGAGTATGTTTCGGGCCTCAATAACGCTTCTCTTTGTAACGAAGAATAACAATAATCCAAGCAGTTCCAATAGGGTCTTCGTACCCTTTGGGTGCTCGGACCCTAATAATAATCACAAGGGTTTCAATAGGGTCCTTGCACAAGTGTGCTCAGACCCTAATAATAACACTGGGTTACAAAAAAATATTTTTTTGAAGGTGTCTAGGATTTTTTAAACTAATTTAGTTAATTATTTTTGCAAGGCTAAATCCAAAATGACATCTGCTTTTCTGTATCAGGCCAGGCTTTTATGCCAACTCGATTTTTTAAAAAAATGGATTTTGCCACTTAATCGATCACATTTTTTGACATAAGCGATCGATTTATTTTAGTATTTCTCATATAAAATCGGATTTTAGAAGAAAAACTACATTTTCTAATCCTTTTCATAAGCTAAATGATCTAAAAGTTGATGAGCGTAAAAATTTGTAAAGGTAAATACAAGTAAATTGCATGTTTCATCAGCATTGCTCAAAATTCAGGGCTTGACCTTCCGCTTCTTGGAACTCCTGGAATGATCAGCAGCAGGTATATCTCTCTTCAGAGTCCAGCACTAATCAGCCATCATGATTGCATCCCAGCGTCCCTGATACCTGGGGCATGTACTATCAAGCCAGATCAACATACCCAGGATATGTTTCAGAGATCCAGCTTGACTAACCCTAACAATCGCACTCAGTATAACCGGTCCTACGACGGTGATTATCAACTTGGTAAGTCAACCCAAGGTTGTCTGATCTGAGTATGAGCGCATGCACATAAAATGGGCGGAGTTATCGGCATCTGACCAATCACGACTATGGGCAAGTCTGGCTGCAGAGCGGCTCACTTTACCACCAAAGGAGCAGAATATATTCTTTCCAAAATGTGAAGAATAATATAAAAACATCACAGGAGCAAAAAGCAGCAGCGTTGCAGCAGCCAAAGCCAGGAAGGAATGCTGGCGGGAAACTGCTGACTGTGTGAATGCATCAGTTCATTAGATTAGAATAAAATATAATATGATCACTGATCGTATCAGATACTATTTGTTGCCTAATGTATATACTTGTGACATATCTGACATTTTTTACTTTCAGCTGCGATCCTGCTGTTGTGAAAAGGACGTGTGAACAAACTACGAACAAACAGAAACATAATTCATTATTAACGTATCCTACAAATACAACCTTTAATGCAAAAGTCAATTTACTGTTGTGGGGTGATTTGGTATGGAAACAACAATGAAATCCCTTTGACATTGCCTGTAGCCAACAGGGGGGAAAAAATGAATGAGGGAAGACAGGAGCTCATAGAGATCCTCATCAGGGTGCGCTGTTTTGCCGGTCCCGAAAAACCCTCACACTCCTCAGTGACCCCTCACAATTCATGCTCCGATGTGTAGCGTGTCTTCTATTAATGCTGGTGATGCCATTTTGTTGAGAACTACTTTGTTTTCTGCTCCTTCTGAAGTTTTATGGGAGAGAACTGAATTTCAGTGGGTGGTGTTTTTATTCCCAGTGATCTCAGTCTCCAACATAACCTGCTGCGGAGCAGGTTAGCTGTTCAGCGTAAGTTGCCATGGTGGTGTACCCCGGTAAGAAGTGAACCACCTTTGTAGGACCGAAAACCCAGGATTTAACCTGAAGTTACCTCGCTAACCCCAAATCCTGCTTCGTAGTACAGGCCCCAGGTCTCCATCTCTTTCTGATAAAATCACGTGACTCTAATGTGTTGTTCATAAACCAGGAGGTAAACTTTCTATCTAAATTTAATTCACCTGCAAATATTTATAGTATCAACTTGTAAAGGTTTCAGAATTTGTTCATTTCAGGAAATAGAAAAATAACTTTGTATGATACAAAGCATATATACCCGCACATATACACAAAAATGTAAAAAAGTGCATGTGGCCACAAATCAAAATTTTGACCTCATTGAGCAAAACCAATGTAATATTTGGATTCAGCACATTGCAATTGTCCAAAATCAGCTCAAAAAACTTTGACACCAAAATGGGTGTAGACCAGTGTAATCTGAGCAGTTCCAATAGGGTCTTCGCACCAGGGTGCTCGGACCCTAATAAACCCAAGGGTTGCAATAGGGTCCTTGCACTGTTACTGCTCGAACCCTAATAATACATTTTTTTTGTATAGCGCTTTTCAAGATACTCAAAGTCACTTAACAGGGGTGAAGATAAAAACAGGAACAAAGCAAGTTGAACAAAAAGCAGATAAAAAACAAGGTACAGAAGGTAGGTAAAAATACGAAATAAAAATGTAAAACAGTTAAACATTAAAAGCGATCTTAAAAAGGTGAGTTTTTAAAGGGACTTGAATGTGTGGAGGTCAGAACAGTGTCGGATGGCAGATGGAAGGGACTTCCAGAGGGTGGGGCTTTGTCCCCCCAGGTTTGGTGCTTGGTCCTTGGTGGTGGGGCGAGGAGGTGAGCAGACGAGGAATGAAGGCTGCGGGAAAGGGTGTGGGGCTGGAGCAGGTCTGTGAGGTAGAAGGGGGCCAGATGATGGAGGGCTTTGTGGTTTAGGAGGAGGATCTTGAAAGTGATGCATTGTTTGACAGGGAGCAAATGGAGATGCTCGAGGACGGGGGTGATGTAATCACGTGAGCAGGTGTGGGTGAGGAGATGGGCAGCAGAGTTTTGAATGAGCTGAAGTTTTTTGAGGAGTTTAGAGGGTAAACCATAGAGTAGGCTATTGCAGTAGTCCAGTCTAGAGGTGATGAAGGCATGAATGAATGTTTCAGCTGCAGGGAGGGTGAGAGATGGTCGGAGATGGGCGATATTTTTCAGATGGAAAAAGGCTGTTTTTGTGACCTGTTTGATATGCTGTTCAAAAGTGAGGTTGGTGTCGAAGATTAGCCCAAGGTTGCGGGTATGAGAGGAGGGAGTCAAGGATGAATTTCCAATGGTGAGGCAGCAGTGATTGATGGACTGAGTGAGGGATTTGGGCCCAATGAACATGAGGTCAGTTTTGTCACAGCTCAGTTGAAGGTAGTTGGTTTGCATCCATGCTTTTATTTCAGAGAGGCAGTTTGAGACGGTGATGTGGAGGAGGTGTGGAGGCTGTTGTAGATGGAGTCTATTTTGGATTGAAAAAAATGAGAGGAAAATCTGGCATTTATCAGATGTGAAGGATGAGGCGGTGTTGTCATGGGGCTTCGGAAGGGAAGTGAAGTGTAGCTCTGTGATGGACCAGCGACCTGTCCAGGGTGTCCCCTGCCTTCGCTCTGAGTCAGCTGGGATAGACTCCATAACCCCCGCAACCCTAATGAGGATTAAGTGGTGTATAGATGAGGGATGGATGGATGCATTTTACACAACTTCATTTAATTTTGACCATTACATGTCTGGGTGTGTGTGGGGTTTTTTTTGTAATTATTCAGAATTTTACAACAAACTTGCCAAAAGATTGGAGAAAAGTCAGAAATCATTAACAACATCACAGGCATTCAGGTTTTTCTTGTAACTTCCCAAATGCAGGGAACCTTTGGACTAAATTAGCTAAATGTAGCAGCAGTATGTCAGTCACAGGGATTACTTTTACTGCAGAATTTTTACTTTGCAACGATAAATACATTTTGCTGATATTTCTGCACTTTCTTTTAGTACAATTAAATGCAGGACTTTTACTTATAGCTGAGTATTTTGAAACTGTGATTCCAGGACTTTTATGAAGAAAAGAGCACTTGTCCACTATTAAAATCTCAGTTTACTGCACACTGTCAGTGGCTAGAATTATTAAGTGTCTCTAAAGTGAGATGTGGTGAGGCCTCAGCAGTTGAACTCAGCCATCCTGTCGGGCCGGGCTGCTTGACAGGTGCTGGGCGGCGTGAAGACGTTGGGATCGCTGATGCCCAGCTGGAGGTTGAAGAAGCGGGTTGAAGTGGTGACGCTGCTGTTCCGGGTGTAGGTCTCCTGCACTGGGTAGCAGTCCTTCAGGGTGTAGACGCCCACCCAGGTCTCATCTGGTGGAGAAGCAGATATTGCAGTAGAAAATGAGCCCACAGTGAGGAAAGAACACCCAGAAACCTCATAGCATGAAAGTAGAGTTTTATATAGAGTTCAATTATAGTGTTTTTCGCCCAGTTTGTATAATGTTCAGTCAAAATGTGTAGCTAATGTGTCATCACTTCTAAATCCACATTTCTCAGTGACTATCCAACACAGAGGAAAGACTAGGCAGCAGACAAGCAGGCGAATAGCTGTCAGACTTAGGAACTGGAGCTGACAGCAGGCCACCAGAATCAGTAGCTGTAACAGGCTGGTGGTGAAGTTTATCGATGCAGCGCTAAGCAAATTTATGTACAGTATCACTGCAGGATTGGAGAAGAGCATGCAAGTTCCTCTTAATGCTCTCAGTGGTAGGTAACAGTCAAGTGAACTCAAGTGAAACAGATTGACTGATGAGGGCTTGGAGGATCAGATTCAGGTCTGCTAGGTTTGCTATGTGAGGAAAGCAAGGACATTCTTTTAAATACTTTCTAAGAAGTTGCTTTATTTCTTAAATAGTGAAAATGTCCATACAGTATATAAGCTGTCATTACATTGAGACAAGGAGTGTCTTTGTCGCTGCTGCACAATGGTTTGTGATTAGAAAACCAGTGAATAAAAACTGAAACACATCAACAGATCTGTGACTTCACCTCATTTTGTAGTTTTTCATGTCTATGTGAAACCACATGAAAGTTACCAGTTATGTGAATTTTTTAGGCACTGTAGGTCAAATGCACAAGAGTTTCAACTAAATCCACAGTGAAATCAAAATCATACGCACTCTTCATGATACAATAAATAAAGTTTGCTGCTATTTTGTGGTAAATTTTATTAATGTTCGACTGAAAACCTAAAGGGTCAGTTCGCCAAAACCATAATGAAGTCATAATCAATTGAAAAATAGTTGCACAAAAATCAGTCAATCCTGTATCTTTGTATTTCATTGTGCTCGAGGCTTCAGAAGTTAGAAACCCGACTTACGCTGGCGAGCCGGCTTCCTATCGGACCATTCCTGAACCTCCACGTTGTCCCCAGGGCCACCGATAACGTACTGGTCCTCGAAGGTGGAGTTATCGGGGATGTCAAAGGGATCCCAGGCGTCCGTCAGAGCGATCTTTGAGCACTCTTTGGTCTTCTGGTCAATCTGGAACATCACCATGTTCTGATACAAGTAGATGTACTCAAAAAACCTGAAACAGCACAGAGGTTACAGAGTTTGTTGGTGGTACCACAGACAGAGGGCACTGTACATCCCCTCACCAGGGAAAACTACTGATTTGTGATATTGGGCTGAATTTGACTTGACTTTTTGGCCACAGAAGCTGAAAAGACAATATCTGACACAGAAAAGCTGTTAAATAACAATAATTTAACTTAATACGAACAGACAGATGTTTTTCTTCAGTTTCCTCTTCACTGATGCGAAAGTTGGTGTCCACATACTTTTGGCAGGTTACTGTTCTTTGCATTTTGTTGCCACATTGAAAAGTAAACAAACCAAAGTCAATCAACAGGTTGAGCTCTTGTTTACCAGCAGGACAAAGTTCACAACCTCAGACTTCAGTCCTGGCAGAGACTCAGTGGGACTCAGTTGCCGTAAATAACAGAAAGCAGTTGTTACCGAAGAGTTATTACAACTTACTGAAGTGGCGAAAATACTGAAGTTTGTAGCTGAAACTGTAGATGCTATTAATAAATGAAATACAAAATTGTAGTTCATGACTTAATAATTGTAAAATAAGATCAATTTCTTACTAATGTCAGATCTATCAAACATTAACAGTTATCTATTTACCATAAATAATGACATTAATCTTGATTAAGATTATGTTTTTAGGAAAACTACCTCCATATATCATTACTGCTAGATTTCAGGCTTGGTCATATAAATATTAAAGCTTTATGGTTCCATTATAAACTGTCAGAACAAAGAATGTTTGGGTTGTCATGTGGTAAAGAAATGTCTTCAACTGAGTGGACAAGACGCGATAGATGATATGGATCAAAATACTGTTTTTTAAACAACTTAATACAAATGTATTTATGCTAATATAAATATTTTTGCCAGCTTTATCACCTAACAAAATGTATAAACACCAACCAATTTGGCAACCCAAAAGTTGTTCCTGTTAATGGTGTATATTTGCTCTATAAAGCAATTAAATCATTAATTACAACTCACGAAACCTTTATAAGGCATGCTTTATTAGTGAGGGGGACATACCACCATTTAATTTCAATTATTGTTCATAAAAAATCATTATTTTTATTGTTTATCTCAATGTATTTTGCGGCATTAATTTTCATATTTTTTAATGCATTTTTATATAATGGAGTTGATTAGCAATTAATATAAACATTTTGTGGGTTGTTAGGTTTTAAAGAAGGAGCTGCAGAGGATCTGCACAAAAGTCAATTTATTAACAACTAAACATCTATTATTGATAAGTACAGCATAACTGTTAAATTCATTTTCTGAAAATCCGTTTGAGCATTTTTTGTTTTTTAAAGAAGTTTTATTTGTCTGTCTGCAGCTTCTTAAATGTTCTTAAATATTTTCCAGTTTCTGTTCTCCTCAGTGACAATAAACGGAATATCTTTGGGACATTTTTACCATTTTCTGACATTTTATAGAGCACAAAACTAATCATTTTTTAGATAAAAAAACAAAACAAAAACAAAACATTGTTGTCTGTAAATTGTCCTTATTGGCTTGTATGTCATCTCTGAAAAATTAGTAAATGTCCAATAATGTCAATAAACCCTTTATAAAGGAAGCCTTAGTAGAAAGTAGTTTGTTATGTCTTTGTACTCATTGTTATTATTAGATATCACTATGTTTTCTTTATATAATTTTCTTTTCATCATATATATTCTTGAATATCAAATCTCACAATATTATAGTAAAAAAAACACCATCCTACTGATCACAGACACTGTATTCTACATAAACACTCATACTGCATTTACTGTATATGTTAGTGTCTCACATAGTTCCTGTTTATATTGTACGTATCCAACCACATGCATTCTTTATATTATATGTATGGTATTAAATCTTGCCTCTGACATGGGGTGTGCTTCTTGTGCTGCTGCAGGACTCGGATCCTCCAGTTCAGGCTGTCGTAGGAGACCGCGGCTCGGCTGTTCCTGCCGGTGCTGTGGTCGTACAGGACCCAGCGGCCCTCCCACTGCGACGGGGCGAGGCAGGGCCCGGCCGCCGGGGAGACCTCCAGCCGCGGGACGCCGAGCACAGACGTCCCGGCAGCGGCCAGAAATACGAACAAAAGCCGGTGCATTGTGTGTGCGGAGACTCCCGTTAACCGGTGCAGCGGACGGTGATGGCGGACTGCACCTGCTGTAGACAAGCTGGCCGGAATCAGAGGGAGTCGCTGTTCCGTCAAAATACTGCACCGTCATTTATGGAGTACAGTTAAATAAATAAGAGCTTATATTCAACAGGCTTAAATATGAACGCAGTATAATTTATTTTGTGAATATTATTACAAGAGCAACTTAAATATTATTACACTTGTATACAAAATACACGTTTACTTTATTTGAATACATTAACTATTTAGATTAAAAAACCTACAGTATTATCAGTATTATATCTCTAAAAAAAAACTACCGAACTATTATTATTATTATTATTATTATTATTATTATTATTTAGTTTTTTGTTTGTTTTTTTAAATTGTTGTTTCAGTACTTTTTTTTTTTTTTTTAAATTATTGTCATTGTTCCAACCAAAATAAAAGTCTGACCGGTTTGCTAGAATTTCAACATAAAAGCCCCAAATTAAAATCATAGACTAGGGTTAAAAACAAACAAAATCAGCAAGTTTAATTAAGGGTCATCATGTTGCAACAATTTTTTTTTTAAGTGTGTAGCATTTTTCTACGGAACAATTAAACGATTTATATTTAAATATATTCAGCGAAATTCTCTAGTCAACTATGATTCTACACTAAAAACAGCACCGGTTGTAGTTTCTATTAAAATATACATAATTATAAAGCAGTGAGTGCATTGAAGTTGCGGTTTAGATGTTTTTAAAAAACAAAAAAACGGTGAAAAGTAATCACTTTTTTTTTTAGAGTCATTAATTTTAAATTGTTTATTATCCGTGACAAACGGTCTCCTTCCTGTCGCGTCACGGTGTGGCGCGGCCTGATGACGTCTCTTCCTGGCAAACATGGCGAAGAAACAACGTGGGAAAACGGCGTCGTCTTCGAAGACGGCGCACAAAGAAAAAACGACTGAAAACCTGAACATGATTCTGGAGTCCAGCGACGACGAGGCGCCGGAGGAGGTGACCTTCGAGGACTCCAAAGTTCAGGCTTTACGGAGCATGCAGCAGGCGCTGGACACGGCCAGGAGGTGGCTATCACGGCGGGCTAACATGTTCTTCTGCACCCAGAGACTGAACTCAGTTCAAAAAAGTCTAAATTTAGGCGTTTTTCTGCTGACCAACGCAATAAAAACACCACAAGTCGTGTTTCGTCACGTATTCTGACACCTTTGGAGTCACTTTTTACATCGGCAGCTCCCAATTTAACTAAACATGTGTATATCTATGTTAAAATGTAGTTTGTAGTAGTAGTTTGTTAGCAAAAAAAAAGGGATTTCTGGCATAACGTGCCGCTGACGGTCATCGTACAGAATGCTGAATCGCAGTTTCGTATTATGACATAATATTTGCAGACTTTTTGGTTTGTTCAGAAGAGAAACTTATTTGCTGCCAAAAATAGGAACTGAACATCAAGTTTCAGTTAATGTACTTTGAGCATCATTTCTTGGGTTAAACATGTTTCTGTTTGCAGGGAGAAGGAGCTGCTGAAAGAGAAGAGGAGGAAGAGACAGGAGCTGTTCCAGGAGCAGAAGGTCTGTCATGTTGCAGGACTGAACTGTTAATAGAGTTTAGATCAAAAAGTGTAACAATGCATTTAGCGAAATGCAACGGCTGCATTTTAGGATGCACAAGTTCATGACATGTTGCATAAGTCCAACCCTGTTGTTTTATCAAACAATGAGAAAAGTTGCAGCCGGATGTGTTTGAGTTCATTCTCTTCACAGCTCCTGCGATGTGACTGTTACATCATGATGTTGATGCTAAAACTAAATATTGTGCAGCTCTGATTCACGTCTGAAAGCATTGTGATGTTAAATGAATGTACCGAGGCAGCAGCTGTTGAAATTGTTTTATTTACATTAATTCATTTGTACATTTTTCCCCACAGAAGAGAAAACTCTTACCAACTGATGTGTTGGAGGAAATTGACTCATCTGCTACAAAGTAAGTTCATCACTCCGACTCTTTCTGCTGCTCTGTGATTTCATGCGTTTTCTCCTCTCAGTCAGCTCTTACTTTTTTTTTCTTTTCTTTTTTTCCAGGAAGCAGAAACAGGCTACAGATGAAGGTACAGAAGCTTCCCGTTCTTCCCGGTTCAGACATTTAGCTGCAGATTGATTCTCAGGTCACTATGATTCTAATTCAACTGTCGTCATGCAGCTGAAGAGGAGCAGCAGGAGGAAGAGGAGGATAAAGACGAAAAAGGCAAGAGGAGAGAGAAGAAAAAGAAGACCAAGAAATCTGCACATTCTAGAAAGTAAGGACATACAAAGATGCTGCTCTCCAGAGTAGTTTGAGGAAATAATCAGAACTCAGTAACTCTTCTAATCTGATTTTACTGAGAGCAAGGGAAGATGCTGAAAGCTAAATTATATGATGACAGCTATGATTGTTGGCTTGTTGGTGCTTTGTCCAGATTTAGAAGAAGTTTGAAATTTGATGGGGAAAGTAAAGCAGATGAAATAGTGAATCCTTTTTGTACTGATCTCTGCTGTTTGTCAGTCTGAAAGGAAACTACACAGTCACGACCACGAACGATCGAACATTGACGTCGTTCCAGCAGCAAGCAGCTGAAGATTTCATCAAGTCCAGACTGTACGGACCCGGAAGCTGCAGAACCACAAGTAAGAAGGCAGCTCTGACATTTAGAGATGACAAACAGAACTATTTACAGCAGTGAAACCATCATGTGCTGCTGCTGCAACATGAATGTTAATGACACAGTGGTGCTCTGATGGTAACATCGGATTTTCTGCAAATGATTCAAACTTTAACTGTGTCAGATGTACTTGTTTTTATTTCCTCCTCTCATTTTTCCTCACTGTGGTTTCATTTTTCACTGCAATCTAAAGTCCTGCAGCTCTGTGGAAACAGAACAACATGAAGAAGAAAGAACTCAGAAATGTCTACTGTCAATATGACACAGCTAGAATCACATAAATCAGAAAAAAGACAATACGAAAGCTGGATTTTTTTTTTGATTATATAGTTTTCAGAAATCCTGGAATTAACATATTTATCATGTGTCTAAGTTTCCACATTTGTTAGCAACACTGGAAAAGGCTTCACATACTATAGCTATTGAACTGTTTCCATTTTAAATTTAGCTTAAAGCTTGTCTCCTCTCCACTTGGTGAAAACACTACCTGCAATTCAACTGAAAATTCTCTGAATTTTCCTTGGGTCACTGATGGCTCCACCGTTGCATTGAGAAGTGCAGAATTTTTTTGTTTTTTTGCAGAATCTGGTTTCTACAGTTTATTTGTGGCAACTTTTAAAATTACATGTGTAAAATGAAGTGATAGTGAAGAAATGCTCCAAATTTTCGTTAGGTCTCAGAACTGAATGTTTTATTAATTATTTTATTAACTAAAACGTGAACATTTGCAAGCTACACTCTGTGGCAGAAGTCTGCAAAGACGATGATCTGCTTCAATTTGAGCTTTGCTACAGTGAAGCTTCGTCTGTCCTGATCGAGGCGTCCGGTCTGTCGGGCTTCTGCTCAGAGACGACGGCGACATTCGCAGCTTTTAGTCAGATTTTTTAAAATTTAAATTTATTTACACTTCATGTCCTTCTGCTTTCAGGTAACGAGCTGCTGTCCCTCCAGAACAAGAAGGGAACCAATAAGAGTGCAGCGGTGCAGTTTGTCAAGAAGGACTGGGGTATGTTCAGTTAGGACATCCATACCACAGTTCATATGAATACTAAAGACCCCATTTAACAGTTTTTACATTGGAATATGGTGTTTTTGAGAGCTTAGAAGATGTACCATGAGAAAAATAAGCCATGACTGAGCAGTTTCTGCCTTTTAAACTGTACCGATGACAAAAACACAGATTCAGACTTCAACCTCAAGAGCCATATAAAATCAACCAGATCTGAACAAAGTTCCCTCCAGACCTCCTCAGAATCAACTGATTCTTTATCTACAGCATTTTTATTTAATGAAGCAAAGTTGTACCTTCATACTGTGAATATTTCCAGAGTTCCAGGCCCTTGAAATCCATAGAGGAGGGTCCACATGTATCACTTTAATGGACTTTTTCCATCATTTCTGAGCCTCATAACTTCATCAGCACAACAGATAGACACATGACATTATAGGATGAAAGACACATTGGAGTTCTAGTAAAAACTGCAACCAGATCAGTTTTACATCCATCCAGGTGTCACAATCTAATCACTGAATCTGATTTCTGTTCATTTTCTCTGTAACAAACTTTGAGCATCAATATTATTGGATGTATGATCGTTTGAACAGTCAAACTGCAGCAGTTTAATATGACATAGAGTCATAGAAACAATCATTGGTACCCTGGATGTGTTTGTTTTCTGATAATTCGCCAGAGAAAAGTGCATTCTGGGTAAACTTTCAAGGCTCATATCAGCATGTGTGATGGTGGTTGGTCAGAACAAGTTACAGACAATGAAAGGACCATTGTAACACACATTTGATACCAGGATGATCTTCTAGACACAATTCACTCTGTGGAAGAATCATTTTATAATGCTCGCAGTTGGTTCTGAAAAAAGTTTACAAAAACAGAATTTGTCTATTTGCTGTACTGATGAGGTTCATAAATGATGGAAAAAGTCCATAAAAAGTGCTAAATGTGGACCCTTCTCTATGTACTGTTACCTTCATAAAGTAATGTGTTTAATATAAGAGATAATTACCACAAGTGTCTGACAGCTGTTTGTGTTTGAACTCTTTGTCTCTTTGCTCTGATCTTGCAGCATGTAAGCAAAAAGCCAAAGCAGAGATGCTGAAGAAGAGGTGGATCCACAAACAGCGGTTTCCCTCCAGCTGATCTGAGAGCAGCTCAGACTTTAAAAGACTTCAAACATGGTCTACTGTCTGACATGGTTCTGGTTAAGACAGTATATGGACTAATTGTGGGCTTGTTGGTATACCTGTTTCTATTTATTTTTTCAGTCAAGACTTCACTTCTTTGAATTTACAGCCACTAAATGGACGGAATGGCAGATTTCTCAACAGTTCAGGAGCATCCGTTTGTTTTCAGTCATGTTTTCTGCTGTGTTTATGGAACCACCAGCCGTTTATTTCAATGAATAAACTCCTGACATAAAAATCTACCAGAGACTCATCAGAATCAGCTGATTCTTCATCTATACTAACTAGTACATTGCCTATATTTGCCAAAGTTTACCTTCATAACATAAATATTTTAGTTCCAGGCCCTTGAAGTACATAGAGAAGGGTCCACATGAATCCCTTTAAAGGACTTTTTACATCATTTCTGAGCCTCAGAACTTCGTCAATACAGCAGATAGACACATGACACGTTGAGGATGTTTTTTCAGATTTATTTTTTTAATGTAATGATCCAGCAGATGAAGCTGCACATTAATGAGAATTTTCTTGACATTTAGTTTGTTTTGTTGCATTAAAACTGAACGACTGAAGATGTTTCCTGGAAACAAGACTTCATAACTTACTCAGCTGTGGATTGAGATCAGTAATTACCAAAATCTAAACAGATTATTTTATTTGAAGAATAAACCAGAGGATGCCAACCACTTCATGAGTAAAGAAGAAGACTGGAGAACTGTTTCTAATGCCTTTAGTTGTTTTTTAGTGCCTCAGATTTGTCATGTGAGCTGTAGGAGGTGCCCAGGTGATTAAAAGTTATTAAAATGCTCTGCAAAAGTCTGACGGCGTGAAAATGGCAGCCCCTGCAATTTCGATCAATGGCCATTTTGCCCATTTTCGCTGTGTTTGCATTCAGCAGAGTCCCGTCGGAAGACTGTTTCACCTAGACCTACACAATTCGCTAGGCATATGTAGCAGGTCGGGACGCACAAAAACATCAATGAGTGCTAAGCCCTAAACCCAACAGGAAGTTCGCCATTTTGAAAAAACCACAGTGACAATTTGAGCGATTTTGACTGACTTTTGGACATTTTTGGCCATTTTCAAAATCTGTCTCCTCCTAGGGGGAACGTTGTACACACCTTAAATTTTGCCAGCACAATCTACAGGACGTGGTGATTAAAAGTTATTAAAACACTCCGCAAAAGTCTGATGGTGTCAAAATGATGGCCTGTAGAATTTCGCCAAAACGCCATAGAATGGGACGTGCTGTGTAACTTTCCTGTAGGTGCTCCAGTCTCCCTAAAAACTGTACATGTGTGCTTGAGGTCCCAGCTAGAACGTGTTACCAGCACGCCAAGCATGTCACCTCGGCTCGCCATTAAATAGGAAGTGGTGGGTGTACACTCACAACGCCACGCCCAGTTAACCTCAACATGTTTTCGGGCTGTGTGGGAGGAAACCAGAGAACGCACGCTGCAAAGGGAGAATATGCAAGAATGCAGAAAGATCCCAGTGCCCCCACCAGGACGCGAACCGGCGACCTTCTTGCTGTGAGGCAACAGTGCTAACCAACTGCACCACCTTGCAGCCC